TCATTCTCGTAGAAAATGATGATTTTGTCGTCATCTTGATGACGTACTATGCTGTCAATCAGATACGAAAGCTTGGAGGATACAGTTGATACTAGATGAGTTTGCCGCAAAGCCGGCGGCAGGCTGTCCACAGGAAATGCTTGAGTTGGACCTACAGCCCCAGCTTGACGTCTAGGCTTGCGACGTGGAGTATCCTCTCCAAGTTTGGTGTTTCCCGCCAAGGTAGCTGATGTCTTCTCTTTAGCATCGGCAACCTTATCAGACGTTTGTACAGCTAAGATCTTATTTCTCTCGATCAGTCCTTCTTGAATAAGACCTCCATTAAGCAAAGAGTTCAGCAACTCCGTTTCATGGGCCGCTTTAGTCAGCAATTTTTGCAGAGACAAAATCATACTTGCTGATGTGTATATTGTATCGCCCCCTTCACCATCCAGGGACCATGAATGGCCTGCATCCCCAAGCGGTCCATGGACTCGAATCGGAACGTCATGATAACGATTGCTGAGATTTCTTAATTTGTCATTGATGGCAACTTTGCCCAATTTTATAGCTTGTCGCAAATGGACTCTGTCTTCGTCACTGATTGGCACTTTTTTTCTTTTCAGGAATTTCTCCGCCGTTTCAACGGCCTTTGCGATCTCTTCTGAAGAAAAAAAGGAGCCTCCAAAGAAACTCGACTGTTTCAGATTGTGCACGATTTCCAATAGACTCCTACGCTGTCGCGGGTGGAAGAAGTAGTCCATGTCTGTTCGTTGTGACTGCACAGAATTAAAGATGATCATCATAGCGAAGAGGTTCAAGGACAGCCGATCTTGGAATGAGCCTTCAAGCAAAATTACCTTTTCATCAACAGGCGGCAAGAGATCGCCGACTTCAGATAGTCGATGTCTGATAATTAAGGAGTTAAGGGTCGCTTTTAAACAGTCCCACCGGCCATAACTGTTCTTCTTGTGCCGCGGGAGTAACAAATATGTCCCCCAATCCGCACGAGTATCTTCGTTTTCCGTCGCAGCATTCGCCCACGGTCTCGCCTTCAGGTACAGCGAGGAAATTGATCCTAGTCGCTCAAGATCTTTCTTTTCCATCTCAGCGGATGTGTCTCGAGTTTGTATGGGGAGTAATGTTGGGTCTCTCGCTGAGGAAACCCCCAGAGTTCGGTTGTCTACACCAAAGAGACCATGTGAGGGCGTTCCAGTGACAATCCATCGCGACGAAAAGTTCATTCCATCGAGACCAATTAGCAAATTGCTCTTTCGGCATACTTTCGAATTGCCGAGTTTATGGCCTTCATCAACGATGCAGCGCTTGAAATGGACTACAGAGAGCGCAGTACCACCAACTCCACCATTTTCTTTGATGAGTCTTTCGAATCGTGATTGAGAAAATAAGACGATATCGACATCTAGTAACTCTTCCAAGGATGGAACTGGTTCATCCTTTGAAAGAACGCGAACAGTTAAGGTGGTAGTATGCTTTGCTATTTCGTGTTTCCACTGAGAAAGCAGATTGGTAGGCACAACCACGATGGTTGCATTGCTCAAGTAGATTTTCGTAGGCGCTAGTTCTTGAACAGGATGTCGGCCGGTACGGCGCAGTTTTGGTGGAGGACGCAAGTAATACCCTGGGTTTCGTTTGAGAGCCGCCTCGCATCGATGGAATTCATAACCAATCTGGCGTCTCCAGGTTTCAAAATATGATCTCCATGGAACGGCGTGCCGGGTAGCACAGGCCGCTGCCATGTCGGCAAGCGAGGCTATTTTGGTTCGTTTAGGACAACTGATTCCTCTATAAAGCTCTGGAGGCCGCGTTGGAAGATTCCTAGTCGCGAGAATGAGGGCTAAGCAAATAACGGTCTTGCCTGCTCCCATTTCTTCTGCCAAGATGCCGCCACATACACCATCATAATATCGTGGTTCTCTCAGAATGGTGGCAGCCACCGGATCAGTGTACCATGGAGTTCCATCATGTCCATGGATAGCAATCAAGCGTGGGTCAAGAACCTTGCTTGGCTCTGCTTCCTTCTGCACCATGACGGCTACTGACCTGCGTTGGTAAGCGTACAATTCTGTGGTGACTCCAGGTATAGTGTGCTCCAAGATATCGATCATAGAATCCCGAGCGTATTCGTCAGTAACTAGGTCAGTGGCCGGGTTAGGCGAGGGAATGTTGTTAAACACCTGCAGCAGCGATTCATTCTCATCGCCTGCGACGTTATCGCCTCTGAGGGCGGATGAGCCATCAACACATGCGATTATCTGTCCTTCCCATGCGTCTCTCGAGTAGTCTAATAAATGAAGAAGGCGACGCCGTGATTTTTTGAGACTGAGGCTGGTTCGATCAATTAGGCCGCGATATGCATCATCTGGTAGCAAATATACTCGCACGGTGCCATATAATCCATCTTCATGTACACAAAGCTCGAGATCTACCCATTGTGACTTAAATAGAAGTGAGACTAAATGTAGAGACTGAAGCTGGAAAAGGCGCTCTTGGACGTTGATTGGTAAATGACCATCGTCAGCCCAGACTTGATTGTCGTCAAACTGATCCAGAGACGAGTGGTGGCGGAAACTTCTCCAAACCTTGAGATTGATGGTATTCCAGGTCTCTTTTGTAATATTGGAATCGTCGAAGGAGACTCCAAGGCATCCGGCAGGGATATAGTCATGCCGTTGAAGATGCATTTTGTCCACATCTCATGGATTGTCATTAATCCTATTGTAGTGTATCTCTCAAAGATAGAGTCATGATTATCGGGATTAGGAAATTAAAACGCTCGGTGTATCGTTTTCATTCTCCCCGAAAAGCGAGAGGGAAGTTTTCACGTAAGGCGCAGTAAATCCTATTGGTATTGATGGGACAGTTGACCATAGTGAAGAGGCAAGATTCTGACACGAGGATCCGGCTGTTGCCTAATACTGTTTATACGGATTTACTCACACTGTAAATTACTACTTATGAGACGCGGTCCAGACAGTGCCACTAATACAGTATGTGTGAAAATCACGAAAACAAATGGATTTGTTCATTTGAGCAACGTAAAACTTAATTAATCAGCTTGAAGTGGTATGAGTTACTATTGTTTCCTATCTTGTTCCGTCCCAACGATCCAAAAGTCCGACCTGCCACCCTTTAAAGGACCTCTCCTTTTCCGGCAGTAGACGATTGCTCGATTTTAGAATCTCGCTTGATAATTGAATCGTGGCAGTCGGAAGATTCAAGTCTTGTACATCTGATACGACTGATTCCATAAGTTTATCACCTTCTTCTGCGGTAATGTGCTGATATAGAACCTTCATCGCTGTTTTCTTGCCCTGGATAGAGGAGGATGAGTAGACAACATTGGGGTTCAGAACCCAGAGATAGAGCGGCGTCGTCCAATTCTCTCCCTTTTCGGACGCGTGCGCTGATATAAGCGACTTCGCGCTTCCTGATCTGGAGATATTTGCAACAAGAGATGCTGCAAGACATTCAGGTCCGCTTGGGACTCTACTGGTTGGCACAGTCGTGTTGCATGTGACCTGCCACTTGAACAGAGTCACTGAGCCAATTCTCACGTTGAATAGACCGATTTCTGCTTTGCATTCACCGCAGAAAATATGTAAAAACTTTGGCGGTGCTGCATCTGCTACAGCGTCGGAGCTATTTCTCGCAGCTTTTGCTAGAGTGGACATCGAAAACTGGCGTGATGTAAGCATACAATTCATATGGCTTTCATTACCGAGCAAAAAAACGTGGCGAAAAACATGCGCACCAATGTACCTCTTTAAGATCTCCCAGAAGCCATGACTCTGATTACTAGGGAGAAATTAGGAGGGCAGCCGTTCACCCAGGTCATCAGAACCCGTTCTCGAGTGAGAAGGTTTCAAAGACGCTGGTCGCCCCAGACAGGGGCCGGCAAAATCCAATGATATTGGGGAATTGTATCGATGACCATATCACTGAGTAGCCTTTGACGGCTGATCTGGCCACCTTCTATTTCCCCGGATAGATTGAAAAGGGAATAATCGTAAAGCAATACAAAGCGTCGCATTAGGCAACAGAACTTACAAGTAGGTTTTGGCAATTAGTTTCATCAAACATGAATGAGGTAATGTCAACAAAGCCAATGCCAGGCTGGGCAGTTATAGCACTGTTGGCGCCATATCCTCTATTTGCCAAGGTCTCTTGTTGATGCTCACTGTGATCGTGTGGTTTGTGACAGTGCCAAAACTCCATCATCTCGGCCCAGTTTTCGCTAGGCAAGTCTTTCCAGGATTGTATAGTGTCCTTGAGAATGACAATGGAGTTGCAGCTTCGACAGCATACGGCAGATCCATGTTCAAGGTCTAAGGCAACCCATGGAACAGCTTGAGTTTCGGGTGAGAAATGTGGCAACGGCGTTCCTTCTGAAGACAATGGCAATCGCCATGTCAGTTCGCGAGAAGCCGACTGGGAAACTTGCAATGCCGTATTGCCAACCACCGTTCCTGGCAGATCCAAGGCCTCGGTCTGGCCATCATGCTCGATGCATAACCGTCGACCGCCATCGAGAACTTTAGCTACAGTTCTGGGACCTGGAGACGACGGCAATGAAGCAGCGATGGAGACTTGTCTGATGTTCGAGAGCAACTCTGCATAGATGGAAATCCGATCCTCCTTCATCGGAACGGTTAGCTCGGATCGTTCTCCCGCATCAAGGGCAGTGATCACTACGTCTGATTAGACGTTCGCTCTGGCAAAGAAGTGTGGCGGTAGGCCTGCACCAGTCGGAGCGCGGTAATGAGGCCTGGAGCTTTGTGTGTGCGGTGACTATCTGTTGAGGTGCAAAAGACGCGGACTCGCATCAGTCAGAGCCAGTCTCCCCCACCCCCACCCTTTCTTTTCTCCCCACTAGTTAATAAGAGAGCACATCTAGATCCCCACTCATGACCTCAACGCTTTCAGCGTCATAAAAGAGTCCATTTCTTGATCCAACAGTCACCGACAGGAAATCATGCGGTCTTGCTAATTCACCCAAAATGTCCGGAATGCTATCATATGTGCTTGGTGGCGACCGGAAGCCTGCAGCCATAAACTTGCCTGCAGTGGAAGTACACCACATAGAAACCAACCCCGATCGCAGGGCGCGGTCACTCAAGCATCTACTCAAGGCTAACCACGTCAACTATTCTGTCGTCTATAACCAGCTTCGTTTCGACAATCATAATGCCCATATTCTGGGCTCGGCATATTTACTCGGTGCCTCACCAAATCAGCTCCACGATATCTATGAGGAACAGGCCAAGGAATTGGAGGCTTGGACGCCGTCTCCGGCGGAATTGGTCGACAGTGATTGGGTCGACTTTTTAGGAGACAGACAATATCAAAGAGCATACGTGGATTTCTTTGAGGACAAACTGGCGATGGAATACGCCTATGACTGGAAGAAGGTGGTTGAGCACTTTCTGTTCTCGTCCGAAAAGCCGCTAGTCCATGGACTAATTTGCGGCCGTATGTTATACATGACAGCGCCAAAATTCTCCAAACCACGAACACTGACGTGTATTAGTTGGCCACCCTCTGATTCAGCTGGGATATGCGTATGAAATGGACAGCAGAGAAGTCGCAATGGAGGCTCTTACACTGGCGTCAGTGCAGCAAAATTTTCTCTACAAGTACAGCGCCGATGCGTCCTACACAAGGCCCTCATCTAAAAGCAGCAGCTCAGTGCTTGATCTGCTTGTCAAGATATCCGAGGATGAAAATTTCAACAGTCTGTCGAAAGAAATTGACTTTGGAAGGTTTGAAAGCACGATTACCAATCATGAGGACCTGATAATGGAGTACTGGAATGCCTGGAATATCTCCGATCCGATCAAGGATTTTGAATCATCACAGAGAGCCTCCGTTGCTCTTTTTGTTACATCGGTCGACCCTAAATCACATAATTACAACTTCTTCATCGTGCATCTGCTTACGACCAGCTATGCGTTGAGGGTCCTGCTGCCATTCTTCCCAGCCAAGTATCACATCAGCCTTGTGAGGCAGTGGTGGCTTTTAGTCATTGCAGTCTTTGTCTTGAAGGGGAGGCCATGTCCGAATCTCGAAAACATCGACAAAGACTGCAATGGCCGTGGCTGGAAGTATATCCAGGACAAGGCGCTGAACTCCCAGTTTTCAGGCGATGCACATTATGTCAAGGGTAGGTTACCAGTGATAAGCCCCTAAAGTTTCCGAGGAGACAATCTAACTAACTGTTTAGCAATCCGGGCAATGAGGGATATTGGTAGACTTTGGGGAGACGAGGATACTTTTTATCTCCGGGCGGCCGCAACGTTTGTGGATAATTTTCACGGATGGAGTTTCTAAACCCAAAGGGTTTTGGATCGCTTGTATTCGTAGAGGATTGTGTTTAAGTGTGAAAACATGTCTCGTGCTGTATGTACACCTAAATGTGAGTCAGTGCAAATTGAAACTATATCTGTTCATTACTCTGGTCAAATACAAAGCAATTGATAGCATGTTCCTTTGGTGCTATGCACACATTGATGACTACCTAGGTTTTACCAAGGGCCCAGATGACTGCATGTGGGTAATGTTGAAGTCTGGTGGGGTCGCTGTACTAACAGCACTCAGCTCAAGCTCCAGTCTGGTCAGCTACGGACATTTGAAGCCCTGGCGGATGGCCTCCAGTGGACCGGGTCACCACAGGTGCCTGGCAGCCTGGCACTTCAGCTGGTTGGGCCAAGTCTGGCCTGGTCTGACAGCATGCAGTGACCAGACTTCGGGCAAACGTAGTGTCACGTCCTCCCATTACTCGCCGTCAACATCAGACCAGTTGGCAGCTTTCCTGACCGACTGGTTGAGCTCAATTCTACAGACACAGTCCGCATGGAACTCCGGATACACAAATGCTTCAGTCGCTTTGATGGCACCGCCCGCGAAACGCCGCAGGCGGAACCCAGTTGAGGCGTCTGATGACGAAGATGAGCAGCCTCGAGCCAACACCCTCTCCAACTTCCTTCTGTCTTCGCCGAGCTCCTCTTCAAAAGCCCCAGCCACAACTGCGTCTACAAGTTCCCTCAATTGCAAAGGTTTTGCGGGCCAATCTGGCACCAGTTTGTCTCCTCGAAAGACGCGGGAAGCAAGCTCACAGAAGAATGGTAGCAGTCCCAGCCCCAAGAAGTCCAAAGATGTTGGACGAATGGAAGAAAGGGGCAAGACGGCCGATCTCAAGGCACTCTTTTTGAAACAAGCCCAACGGGCCACGAATCCGGGAAGGGGGAGCGAAAAGCGACCTTCGCCCATCGATGACCCCATCAGCGATCCAATATCCGAAGATGACGAGATATCAGAACTCAAGGCTAGCTCATCGAGCTTGGTCAGCCAACATGCCCGCAAAAGAATGAGAAATGCGAGTGCAGTTGCGCCGAGCGAGTCGTCAAACACTGGTTCAATGTTCCTCAAACCACCCAGACCTGCAAATCCAGTTGGTGTCGATGACGATTTGCGACCATGGTCGGAGCGGTTCGGGCCGAGAAATCTGGATGAACTGGCAGTCCACAAGAAGAAAGTTGCAGATGTTCGAAGATGGCTAGAAGATGTTATGTCAGGACGCATGCGACAGCGGATTTTGATCCTCAAAGGAGCAGCAGGCTCGGGTAAGACAACCACTGTCCGGCTGTTGGCGACCGATATGGGCTGTGAACTCCTCGAGTGGAAAAATCCTACGACAAATTCGGGCACGGGATATGTCTCTGTGTCGGGCCAGTTCGGGGAATTCCTTGGCCGTGGCGGCAAGTTTGGGACACTAGATGTGGATGAGCCGGCCAACACAACCATGAAGAATTCAAACGGGCTTGCTCAAAGTCGAGCCAAGCGAATCATCCTCGTAGAGGAGTTCCCAAACACATTTTCAAGGTCCTCGTCAGCGTTGACCTCTTTCCGCAGCACAATACTCCAGTACCTGGCTGCGCATACGCCTTCACTGGCCAATTTTGGCAAGGCGTCTCAGCATAGGGATCAGATCAGTCCGATTGTTTTGGTCATTTCAGAGACCTTGTTGACAACAACATCTGCATCAGCTGATAGCCTTACGGCCCATCGCCTTCTGGGACCAGAAATACTTCGTCACCCTGGTGTTGGTGTGATAGAGTTCAATGCAATTGCACCTTCGATTCTGGCAAAGGCCTTGGAACTTGTCGTCTTAAAGGAAGCGAGAAAGTCCGGGCGCAGACGAACGCCTGGTCCCCAAGTGCTTAAGAGACTGGGCGAAATCGGAGACATTCGAAACGCCGTCTCCTCTCTCGAGTTCTTGTGCCTCAAAGGGGACGAAGACTCGGACTGGGGAGCCAAGGTCGCTTTTACCAAAACCAAAAAAAGTACGAGGGATTCGATTAGTTTGACAAAGGGGGAAGCAGAGAGCCTAGAGTTGATATCGCAACGCGAAGCCAGCTTGGGCATATTTCACGCAGTTGGCAAAGTCGTATATAACAAGAGGGACGAAAAGGCGCCAGCAAATGATGCAATCGAAAATCTTCCCCCATTCTTATCAGAATATGCCCGCCCGAAGAGGTCACAAGTATCTGTTGATTCTCTTATTGATGAAATCGGTACAGACACTCATACATTCATATCCGCCCTCCATGAGAATTACATTCTGTCATGTCAAAGCACCGACCCTATGGATCTATCAACGCCGGTGGACTATGTCAACGAATGTATAGAATATTTATCAGAAAGCGATCTTCTCTGCCCATCCCGAGACGTATTTTTCGGAGGTAGGGGCGGCTTCGGTGGTTTCAGCGGTCGAGATTCAGGCAGCCATCTTCTTCGGCAGGACGAAATGACATTTCAAGTCGCCGTTAGAGGCATGCTCTTCTCCTTACCCAACCCGGTCAAACGCAAGACGACTACAATGTCCAAAGGCAGTGATGCATTCAAGATGTTTTATCCGACGAGTTTGAAGCTGTGGAAGGCAAAGGAAGAGATTGAGGGCATTGTCGACATGTGGTCATCAAGGATATTGAAGGGCGAATCAGAACTGGCAACAAAAAATCTAACAGACGGCGCAAATGCATTTTTGAGGTCCCAATCCTCTGGAGAGTCTTTTTCTTGGATGCAACGCCAACAACAGACACGGGCCGCAATTGCAAACACTACCGAACAAAAGGAAGAATCCTCGGACTCGTCGCCCTTGCTGTCACTGGGCAGCTCAGCTCAGCGAGAAATGCTCCTCGACCGACTACCTTATATGGCTCACATAGCACGAACCCGAAGAACAGGCGTGCGACTACGAGACCTTGAAAAGGTCGTGTCCTTTCATGGCGTCACAGCTGCCGCCGATGAAGAATTCGAGGCAGAGGATGATGCAACGCTGGGCGAGGCTTGGGCCACAGACAAACCCTCAGAAGAATCAAGTCCGCGTAAGAAGAGTGCGCGGATCAAAGCCGGCGGCATGTCCGGCATGTTAGCTCAAAAGTTAGTATTAAGCGACGATGATATCGAGGATTGAAAGAGGGCGTGTGCTTGATTTTTTACTGTACTATATCTTATTTCTACACCAACGAATGGGGTAAGGAGGCGCTCATGACGAGCATGAGCTAGTTGCGGGATATGGGTACTTGAGCACGGTGCTCATCAATTTGCTTGTTTCCGTCGCACAGAAGGTCCAGATATTGTTCGCGCCCTTGTTGCTAAGGTTTGGCGATCCAGCTTGCCATTCAAACTGCCTTGTAAAATAACACCCGGGTAGGTCAGAGGCTTCAAAGAGGCCCGCACCACCAAACAGCAATCCATCCATGCAGCCCATACACCCCCGGCATCATCCAAAGTCCTCAGCAAGCTACTTGTGTAGGTCTCTCGAGGTGGGTTTGGTCTTGCGGTTTGCCAGATCTGCAGGTGCTCGGACCTATGCATGCCACCAGGGGAGGGCGGAAGAGTGGTGGCCCGGCCAGGGAAGAAAGAAAACACCAGCTCCATAGTTAGTAATAATCCAACCTGAGGCTGAAGCGCCGTTTGCGGTCTGCCAGCCAGAGCACGTTACAAGCTGCGGCTCCATATGGAGTATTGGTCCGAGAGTCTATGTACATAGTTACAGGGAGGCGGCATTGAATTCCAACGAGGGTGCCTTGTCCATCTTAACCCGTTCGTCCCATTGACCCTGCAGCGAGCTAAATCAAGCCACGCTACCATGACCTCGCCGCCGGGAAGGAAAGTCATGGCGTAACAGCGGCTAGTATGGATTGGGGCTACGACAACACCGATTTACCCCCGACTTGTAAACGTCTCGTGGCTGGTGAACAAGCAAAAAGAGCAAAGGCAAAATAAGAATACAAAAAGAGCTATGGACGGACACACCTGGGAAGCGGGGCTTGGGGGACCAAAAAGCAACCGCTCATGCAGGAGATTGCTGCACCAAGCATTTGGATTGTGGACCTACACCACGTTGAGCGGGTTGCAAGTACCGTACATACCATCGCATTGTAACAAAGGTTGCAGGTGCACACATAATGCATGCAATACCGTGATATCATGCTGTACAAAGCACACTTGGCCACGTAGTATTGGTGCCTTCTTGCTTCGTCGCTGGCTCCGAAACCCACAACTCCAGCGTCCGAGAGCCGTGATGAAACAACACAACATCTCACACGACCATCGCCGCATTCATCAATACGCATCATGGTGGCTCTAGACAAGGGTGGATTCGGGGCAAACGTGCCCAGCTCGTGGACGGGGCGTAAAATTAAAAAGAGTCGTGTGTCTACCCGACTACGTCTCATGTCTTCTACCTCCATCATCCCATCAAGTTCCTCCGTGCAAGTAAAATGACTCCTTGGGCTTCCAGTACGCGCAGTCAAATAATCAAACAGAGCCTCTCCCCTGTGCGTCCACAGTTCCCTTTGTTCGTGAACAGACCAGCTCCCTCGAAATTCAAACAAAGGAAAAAAAAAACTCGCTTCAAGTAGCAAGATGATTGTCAGATTCCGTCGAACTCCTCCTAATGGCATGGGATGATAGCTGGTTGAGGTGGACCCTAAGCAGACTATCTATCTATCTATGCATTGTCGCTTCTAAATGACCAAAAATTGCCATCTGACGTAAGAATCGTAAAGTCGGGTATGGGTAGAATAAAAAGCAAAACCGGGACAGCAAAAGGGTATAAGCGTAGCAAGAGCGATGAAAGAAGGAAAAAAAAACTCATTTCGTGATATCAGTTCCGAGATGGGCTTACTTGCTCGTGTATTTGTGTCTTTTGTTTCGTGTGTGTAGCTGTGAGTGTATGTACACACGTGCGGGTTTGAGTGTAATTGCGATTTCGAGAGAGGTAGATAAAAGGATTCGTAAGCCAAATACGGCGGTGACATCTCGCAAGTAGTTTAGGCCGACATCAGCACAAAATTATGACCGACGCACACGATTCCAGAATCTCTTCATTACGCCATTGTCATTTGCCAGTAGGTCTTCTTGATCCATAGTGGCAAACTGCCGCTCAATGCTTTCTTTTGAGTGTCCTTCTCGGGTAGCAGACACTGGCGACAACGGCTCGTCTCTGGCCTGAGACTTTCGTCCGTTGGAGGTCTTTTGCCAACCATAAATTTGATCCTCATTTGCACGAAGATCGGGCCGTGTCAGGGTCATACGAAGTGTCATTTCCCGACATGCTGCTGGTGCTTGAGCATAACCGGCCGTGTTTGATATGTCGTCCTTCTCTTGGCTCACACGAACTGGTTTGACTGATAGAGGTTTCTCCATGATTTCCGGGGTCCTAGGCGACTCGGGCTCCTTGGTAGAGGCCTCATCACTGTAGACCGAGGATTTGTCATCCTCAAGAGAGTTATTTGACTTGCCCGTGGCGTTGGTTGACTGTCCTCGTGACAAACTTGCCCTCGTACGTCGTGGGTAATTTTCCTTGCTCTGTACTTCCTCAATTGATGGAAAACCAAATTCAACGGCTTCGTCAAACTTGTGTGGCGAGGCAAGATACACCCGGAGCTTCATCCTTGCGTCTGGATCCTGGTAATGTGCTGCTGCGGCATCAATCGAGACAGATGCATCTGGAACCAGCTGCTTGTTGGGTGAAATAAGAGAAAGAGCCCGTGATCTTCGGCGAACATGGCCAAGAATAGGTGAAGTCGGGCTTGAGGCAGTAGGTGATCCCATCAGTGGCGGGCTCGCAGAGGTGTCCTTGGTAGTTGGCCGACTCCATGTAGATGAAGCACGACTGCTGAAAGGAAGCTTGGAAATGGATAGGTGTCGTCTAAATGACGGCCGGTGCTTCTCAGCCGACACATCTTCGCCTCGTAAATTGAAATGATAGTCATCGAGGCACAACTTCAAATCCAGGTCCTCCTCCTCCTCTAACCAGCGGAACGACTCATACATGGAATCGGCAGTAGACTTGATATCCGGAGCGGTAGTTGTGGTATCAGCAGAGAGCGACACCATCCTGTCAGGATTTGGTTTCGGACTTGTCGAGCTTCTGGACGGACTTTCAAATCGCGGTTGCCGTTTTCCAATTCGAAGGATCGATTCCTCCGTTGCATCCAATATCATACTCTGCCTCGACCTCTGTCCCCGCAACTGGTCACAGCTAGCGTAGCGATTCCTCCCAAGGCGATTCCCTGGACTAGCATATATCCGCAATGCGTTGCCTTGAGACCGGCGATGGGGAGCGTTCTCAAGCTCGTCTTGGCCAAAGCCAAGTCTGAGAGGCGGTCTGTCTTCCTCGTCACAAGACCAGGCAAAAGAGATATTATCGGAGCTCTCCTGGCCAGAATTGTCTATTGCTGGGTAATCCTGCCTCTGAATGATACGGAGGCGCTCGAGCGTTGAGAAGTACTATTCGGGATCAGGACGCAATTAGTGTTTGTGTCAAACATGGGAGACGGCTCATCTAGACGGATAAAGAGGAGAAGGAAAGAGTAAGTATTGATCGTGAGAGGGATGGACGGAGTATACATATGGCTAGATCTCGGGTCGAGATTACCATGTCAGAGGCAGTTGTGCTAGAAAGGGAATGGCATGTTTCAACGCAGGAACGAGCCCTGGCACACACCACGGGTAACCATATGTCAAGGAAGCGGGTACGTCGTGGTGACATCGTGAACTGCGGCAGACTAAAGGGCCATATCGCGTTTGTACTACTGTACGCCGTACAAATCAGTACACGCATGTACGTATTAGCCCAGAGCAGTTCTCCATCTTCCAAGCACAAGTACAACAAGGGACACCCCTATTTACCCAGCAGCCACAACCGACAGTCTATTAGATTAAACAGATTGCTCTTGGGGTGACCAGCTGCGCAATCTGGTCCGTCCCTGGCTGGTCAGTTCTGAACCGAGGGTGTGAGGGAACGTGCTGTCGTGGCCCGAATGGTGCTTGACCGCTGGAACTACGTCCAGCCCAGATCCACAGCACACAGTCCTAGTTCTCCGTATGTGGAATGGCCTTGGTCTGAATATGACTTGTGACGAAAGTGTGGAGGGTAGGAGGATGCAGGGACAAAAGAAAACAGGGAACGCTTAGAACCATTTCAGCGAATGAGTCGCGCGGGGTGGTGTTGGCCAAGGGCACTTCTGCTTGCGAACCAGACAAAGCACACTGTTGCAAGTACTCGCGGAGTACACGTACTCCGTGCCGAGAACACATGGGGTGTTGGATTTGGGCTTGCTTTGGGTTCATCCCTGGTCAAACATCTCATGGCTCACCGCCGTGGGCCTGACCGTGCATTGCATTTGCAGGGGAGGACCGAACAATATTGGGGCCCAGGGGGATGGGTAAGGGCAGGGAGTACTCCGTACGACAAGAGTCGTAAAAGGGCGAAGTAAACATGTGCTCGAGCCAGGACAATTATAAGGGAAGGAAATAGAACAGGAAAAGAAAGAGAAAGAGATGACGGCATTGAGGGAAGCGAAGATGACTTGAACTAGACGGAGAGTGACAAGGAGACGCCCTCGTTAGGTTGAGGGAACAGGCAGAGCGGCGTAGCAATCATAATTAGCCAGAACGACCAAGATCAGCAACTTGCAGCCAGTGCACAGATGGCGGAAGCAACAATATGCCAAAGTTGCGCCTGCTACACTCGAAACTGACTTTTTTTGGCGACTGTGCCTGAACCTTCCGCCTCTGTCTATGTGCCATCAATATGCGGATTGCTTCTTTTCAGAACCATCCCAAAGAAGTCCGTGCCAGGCTCGGGCTGAGACCCCATCAATTGGTGACTTCTGTGTATCCGTCTTGTCAAGTCCCAATTCCATCACTTGCTTCTCTGTTCTCGATGCGTCTTGTTCCAGTGTCATTAACTTACTTTGCGTTGAATAGTAGGTGGCAGTGCCTCAAATTCATCCCTCGTTAGGGCTGGAGATCGTGACAGGCCATCTGAGGATGATGCTCTCCCGTGAGAAGAGCTCTGCCGAGGCTTGAATGTTTGGATGGGGTTGCCACTCTGATTTGCGCTTCGAGATTGAGGCTTTGGGGTTGTTGGCACAGCTTTCTTGACGACCTCGTTGTTAA